TCCTCCACTGTCACCTAATTCACAGGAGCTTTCTTCTACTTTTAGAGGAAATGAATAGTTTGTGGTAAGTATTGCATTTAATGCAGGATGTTTGGTGGATATGATTTCCCTTTCCTTTTCTAGGGTCTGTGACCTATTGAAGGGTTTAAGGGCAAGCAACAATTTTCAAACATTTTTCTCCCCCTAAGGGAGCTAAATTTTCACTGACACCACTGGAGAGGGGAAAAAAAAGTCCTCTCTAGATCTGTTTTGGGGACTTCCTTCAAATCCTTCTTCATCTGTATAATTAGAAAGTTGGACTTAGGCTTCAGGGTGCCCTTCATCTCTGAAGAGCAGTGTGTCATTGCATGGGTCTATCTTGCACATTAGAGCCCGTTTAGCCTGACTTACCCTGCCCACTAATTACCCACAGCACCCTCAGTCATTTCAACAGCTCACCCACACATTGCTGCCTGCCCCAGGAATGCTTGCCCTCGCCACGGTTGATAGCCACTGGCACCCTGCAGCCCTTTCCCGGGAGTGAGGGTACCACTAGTCAGGCTTGCTCTCCCAGCAACAGCTTCTGATGGGCTGAAGGGGCTGCCCGTGAGCAAGGCCCTGCTGCAGAGCAGACAGCCCCCTGCCCCTCGTGCAGACTTCAAGGACCCGTCTGGACACCCTCCTTCCCTCTTTACCATTGGGCCGCCAGTTTCAGCATGGCTTCCAAGTCCTGTCCTGGCACATACTGGCCAAGGAGCATATGAACAGGCAGAGAATAAATGCCCAGATCTCTACTTGATGCTCCAGTCTCACGTGTCTCTGAGTTGAATGAGGAGATCTAAGCATTTGTGCATTTATGTGGTCACGTCCTATAGGCTAACTGGCCCCTTCCATGAGAAGGTTAATGTTGATGCTTAGATAACAGGACATGATTCAGGGAGTAAGTCATTTAGATGTGATTAATAGCTATAAAGGGTTCTAATCAATCCTAGATTCTCCTTCCAGAACTCTGTATGTAAGTCCCATTATAGTTGTAAGATGAATATATTAAACTATATATATATTTTTTTTTCTGATAACAATATTATGGTCAGGTGTTTAGTAATTCTGGCTGTGGGGTCCCATTGGGGTTTGACACCTTTTTCTGTCACTTATTAGCTGTGTGCTGTTGTGTGAATTGCTAAGCATATCACAGCCTCAGTTTCTCATCTGAAAATTGGGGAAAGGGAACGTGTCTTATGTAACATAATCTAATCGAATTATGTCACAAGCATGTACAGATATGGCATAATGAACTCCACTGTTAGGTATCATTATAAGGCACCAATTTAAAAGCCTGTCTTATGGAAGATTTTTATGAGAATTAAATGGTGTAATGTCACAAAACAGTTGACGTGTGGCACGTGGTAGGTGTGGAAGTAAAAGTATTATTATCAGGAAGAAGAATGGTGTCAGAAGTAAAAATCTTCAGCCCCAGGAGCAGGCTTTAATTATAGCAAGAAGGGCTGAAGCGAGCTCTGAAACATATCTTGAAGGTAGCTATTGTTTTACTTTGGGACAAAGTAAAACAGTGTCTGAAATTCCAGGAAATCTTCAGTAAGATATGACCTGTTCCATCAGAAATAGTTATGCTTAAGGGGCTGGGGGTAGGCCAGTGACAAAGCATTTGTCTGGCATTGTGGAGCCCTGGGTTCAATCCCCAGCACTGCAAAAGAAGGTAAAGAAGGAAGGAACAAAGGAAGGAAGGAACGAATGAAGGAAGGGTGGGTTCTATTTAGGCCTGACCAGAGAAAGAGAGAGATTAGGGTAGCAGTTTCCAAACCTCAGGTTGTATGCAACTGATTTGTCATGATGGAATGGCTGCAAGCGCACCTGCCATCACATCTCTGATGGTGCAGAACCATGCCAGGCATGTGGGCATGTCTTGGCCCACCTGGCCTTAACTAAGTATGGCTTTAGTCCCTCCTGGTCAAGGATGCACTTGGGCAAAGTTGAGCCTGAATAGACATTCAGAGATCCGTGCAGAAGATCTTTCTTCCTAAAAAAGCCACACTTATAAGAAAGAAACTTGTATGGGTCCAATTCAGATACTGAATTCAGAGGTCTGCACACACATTTACAATACATTACACCAGCCAGGAGTGGGACTTGGAGAAGTGGGTCCTGAGTGTGGCCTGCAGGATGAAACTTAGTGTCACATGAGTAGTCACAGAACTGAGCGATCAGGCAAAGTGAGCTTCAGCAGACACCTGGAATGACCTGGGCAGATTATGAAAGCTCGGTTGGTGTGGATTTCTTAGCTGTACCCAGATTACAATCATCTGATTTAACTCCAGTGTTTTAGAGTGTGTGAATAATGGGACAGCTGAGAGGTGCTGGTGTGCCCTGAGACTCTGGCACGCATGTTATCTCACCCCATGGGCCTTACATCATATCCAGGGCACGGGTGAAGGCAGCGGCAGCCTTGGGGGGCAATGCTGCTTTTATAATGGGGTTTACTTCATTCTGTTATCAATGACACTGTTCACATTTTGGGATGGAAGGATAGAGGCATAGAAGGACAGGGAGACAAGTGGAAATGAACAGCAAGAATAGAGAAGGAAATGAAAGCACAAAAATAGTCACATAGAGACAGAGAAAGCCCAAGGAGCAGCGAGGACCACAAGGAAGTTCACAAAAGAGAAAGAGCAAAAACTAAAGAGAAACACGGCACYATGCTCTGTGTGAGGTGGCATGTGCTCAACGCTAACATGCAAAGAAGTGCATAAAGCCCCCCTGGAACCAGTTGCAGACCTCTTGGATTCTAGACCCGCAATCAAAACGCTTTAAGAAGGAGGGTTTAACACAAATGAAAAGGAACATTTCTTTTCATTCTATTCAATTATTATACGGACCATGAGCTGGTTATGGATTGGAATTATTACTGGGACCAATGGATGGAATTTACATGGAGGCAGACTTAGTAGGAAGTCTGTCATTAAGAGATGGTCCAGGGAGGAGGCAGCCTCAGACCCTGTGGTTCTTGAGACCCTGTAGTTCAAAGTGGCCTGTCAGGCAGGTGGAGACGGTGATTCCTACACTGGGTCATCGACAGGCCAAGGACCTCTCAATTCTCTTGGTAATCCCTAAATTTTATATTTCTGCAATCTAGAAGGATTTGAATAAACTCTTACATAGCAAATCCCATTACAGGTTTTTATTGGAGACTGAAATAAGGTATAATACACCCAGGTACTTAGGAAAAGGTTGGGGAGGAAAGATGGAAGAAGAAAGGGTTAAAGGGCACCATCCTGTGTTCTGCTTGGACCTGTGCTGAAGTTTACCTTTTTTTAATTCTCACAATTACCTTGTGAGATAAACATTTAGTCTCAACCTTACAGTTGAGGAAACAGATGCTCGGAAAGGTTAAGTGACTTGTTTAAGGTAACACAATAACACAGATGGATTTTTTTTTTTACCTAGTTTTTAAAAGCCTAGTCCATGCACTACCCCACCTGAGGACCCTAAACTAACATTTCCCTGGATGTTGGGTCCAACATGGCTCTGGCCAGATGGCTTTGAGACCAAAGTGCTGCTCTCTACCTTGTGTTACATTGTTATCCAAAGGATAAGACMAATGGGCAGGATTGCTTGATGGTTAGTGAATCCAAGTTGGAAGTAAGAATGTACTGGCTGTGTTGCTCTTCTGTTCAACTGCAAAATGAGCACAAACTCGCCCCATCATTCCCTCAACAAATATATCACCAAGAATCCAAAAATCATCATTAAGTWGTACTCTATTACTTAGCACCTTTTGGTAGAATATTTTGACCTGGAAATCAGAAAATAAGATTCTCATTCCAGGGCCAGTTTTAATTTTTTTTTTTTTCTGAGCTTTGGTGATTTCATTTTAAAAGGAAAGAAAAGAAGGATAAGTAAAATTATTGTAAAGTCCTTTCAAGTTATATACATTTATTATGTACATATCTATACATATATGCATATACCATTACACTAAAATGTAAATCAATATCTTCTTATCTACACTAACATTAGCAACAGTGATATAATTAGCCAATAATCCAAAACAGAAAATAGTTTAAAATCCATTGCTTGGTGGGAGTATATTATTTAGTGATCTTCCCATAGATAAACTTAAAATCACAATAAAGTGTTATTTTATTTCTTAGAATATTCTAATGGGTTGGTGCATGTTGGAGATCTAGGAACAAGGAAGGAAATTCACTTGAGTTGAAATAAATGATCTGCAGAGTGTTGTCCATGGTTCATGTGGGGGCCAGGTTGGGTCCCGACTCCCATTTCCAAGCTAGAGTAATCATAGGTGAGTGACTCATCTCCTCTGATCCTTAGTTTCCTCGCAGGGTAAAGTGGGACGACAGTACCATCCTATAGGACTGTTGAGGGTGAGAACAGTTCACACATGGCACCTGACACAAGTTGGTACTCCACAGATGTCGCTGCATCATCGTGCAGGTCCTTCAGGTAGATCCAGGCTCCTGTCCTTGTCGGAGTGATCGGTGTCCCCTCTCTTGATTCAGCATGCTGGACAGGAGTACAAAGAGGTATTTGACAATCCTCTACGTGAGGGACAAGGTCATCTTCACTGTAGAAATCAAAGTCTAAAATCTCTGAAATGCAGCCTTTGCAAAAGCCATTCCCATTTGCTCTCGACCATGCCCAGGGGGTTCAGGGGATTTCCCCCCTGCATTTGTCACCAAGCTTCACGTTCCTCTGCTGCAGCAGCTAAGCTTCCTGGAGCGCCCTGCACGCAGGCCAGCTCTCCAGCCAGGAGGGGGTTAAAACCAACATTTGCAGATAAAGAGGTAAACATATTTACATTCCTCTCTTCACACTTTATGCATATGTCATGCAGTGAATAGTTTTAGAGGTCTGTTTGTACTATCTCTCCAGAATTTTTACAGTCTGGAGGACACAAAATCTCTATAAAGTGACTTATTGAAATAGAAGCAGATTGGTAAAACCGTTTCCCTCTTATGAACTGTGAAGAATGATCCTCTAAATGAAATCAGGAAGGAACTGGACAGAATCTTGTTTAATGGTCTGACAAAATGAATCACAACGATTCCAGACATCCATCACTGCTAAAAGGGGACCACAAATGATCTGTGAACCACTATATATTGATTACCCATGTAGTACAAGTGTCGGATTTAATGTTCACACACCATAGAGAGGCGGCAGGGACAGATGGTGCCTTAACTCTTCTTTGATAGATTTTAATGGTGAAATATTGATTTCTATCTGGCCAAGGCCTGCTGTTAGGGGCCAAAGTCATTTGTTGGGGATTGCCGGACACCCAGTTGGCCCGGCGTAATCAATCATTTTTGGCAAGGCAGGTGAAAATCCAGAGAGAAGYACCTTGGAACCCAAACTGGAGCGTGATGTGTCTGAGTCCAGCCACCTAGAGAAAGAGAGAGAGAGAGCGAGAGAGAAAGAGAGAGAGGACTCTTGGAGACTGTGCTTGTAAGGAATTATTAATGATAAGACATGTTTACTGAGGAGAGTCACAGCGAATCAGAGCTGACATGAAATAGTCCAGGAGCTTCGTGGAGAAAATGAGCCTCTTGCTAAGAGGGACTATATTTTATTTAAACATCCTTCTAAGGCTGAGAACTCAGGTAATCTGTTGTGTTACAAGCCACTGGCTGTTCTTGCCATCCAGAGAGATAACAGTGAGGCGCTAATAGGAACACATCAATCACAATCAGGCTGCAATTCCAGTAGTGTCTCGTCCTCCCAGCTCCTCTTTAAGCTCCTTAATAACGATGATAACATAGTTCGGGGGCTGCTGAGAGGGGCTCTCCCCTCCGAGGGTCATATTCATAAAGTGAATAGCTTGCCAAGTCAGCATCCAGGGAAACGGGCTCCATGCTGGGAGACCTGTGTGCAAGAGAGACAGGGAGCGCCCTGGACCAGCAGGGAGGGTTGGAATCCAACAGGAGAGTTTTCTGTCATCTGTTGGTCGMTGGGTTCTGTGATGTCGTTTCTGCCTCCTTCCTAAGAATGCTGTGGGCATGTACGTAATGTGTAATTATCAAGTAGCAAGGTTCATTTTCCTGCGCAGATTATAAAATGGTTTTGAAGGCAATTCCCAAATGGAGCCCTCCCCGTGTCTGGAGTGATGGCTAACTTCATGGGAATGTGTGTGTGTGTCTTCCCAGGAAGACTCCGGGGGAAATGTCATGCAGATGGGGAAGGGGCGCGGGGTCCTTTTCATCTCTGCAGCCTCATGTCAGCCCCTAACCTTTCACCTTTAGGGTTAAACATCCACTTGCCTGTTTGACTTCTCTGTAGTCTGTGGACTACTTGAGGGTGGCTGTTGTGTTTAATTGTCATATCCCCATCACATGGCCTGGGGACTCACAAGATGCCCCAATATGAATAAACTCAATACATAAGTGCAGGCTGATTTGCACTTATTTATTGAATTGCACTTATTGTACTTAGGTATTGAAGCTGATCRTACTGTTGTGAGTGTTCGTACAGAAATATGTGTGTTCTATGCCTGTTTAAATGTGTACATTTCGTCAGGAATGTGCTGACCTTATAAAGACCTGTAGCACACTTTATATTTCTTTGTGTGATTTACTTTTTATGAGACTGCTCTGATTTGAATCTCAGCTCTACTGCTTAGTAGATGATGACTTGGGCAAGTTGCTTCTATTCTTTGTGCCTCAGTTATCTCATCTGTAAAATAGGGATAATGACAGCACCAATGTTTTGAGGATTAAATGAGTTTGTAAATTTGAACTATTTRTAAGATTACCTTGCTTGTATAAGYAGAAATGTTCTACATTATATATTTTTGTTCAATTATATTTTCTTCCATGACATTATATTTAAAATCTTCACCTAAATGAATGAATAAAATGCACTGAAGCATTGTTTTTATGGCTGATATTAGGGATCCTAACAAATATACACCTTCTTGCTTGATATATATATAGTAAGCTGCACTTTGAGCAGTGTTTATTTTGGTGGTAGTTTGGTGAGGAGRCAGATATTTAGATTCATGTAGATTTTTGTACTCTCTTCTGATTTCATATTCAGGCCTCAGTGAGTCTGTATTTGCCTGAACCTGTTTATCTCCCAAAACCTGTGCACAGGAGTGTGTTTCTTGAGCAAACAAGGGCACATATTTGTGCTCACACACAGAGATGCTGCAGGGCAGGATGAGCCCAGCTTTGTGGACTGCACAGCTGTGCACCCTTCCCCCCAGATGTGGGTGTGCGGGCAGCAGATTCCACTTAGATTATCTTGCTTACCTAATGATTTTTGCTTCACTGCCGTGCTCGATTGTGTTCACCAGGACGGCAGGCTATTAAAATGTCAAGGCACATTGAATTGTTGTTATCCAGGAAAGAGACCTTTCCAATCAACCCCGTGTTCTGGGGGTTGCATAAACTCCAAGAAGGTGATTGGAGAAAGGCTTTATGGCTTTTTTTACATAGATGAGGGTGAGCAGAGAGATTGGGAGAGGGCACCAAGGTTGGGGTGGGGAGGTGGGCTGGGGGTTTATGGCAGCTGGAGTGCTGTAATTAAAATACCATCTTCTCAAACAGGTATCGGTGGTTCCTTGCTTTTGCATTTATGGGTGACTGCACCATGGCCTTACTATGTGATTTAAAGAAAGGCGAGGGGGAGGAAACTCATAGAGGCCAGTGGAGGCCAGAACAGAGGGCTGCAGTGCTGAGAGGCTCTGGGTGGGGTACAGGGATCAATATCTTAAGGCAGAGAGACACAGGAGTGAAATTTCCCGTTGGCAGGAAGGGCTAGAGAGAAAAACAAAGGTTCCCTTGACTTTGTGCCTGTCTGGGTTCAGCGGAGAGCCACCCTTTCCCCCTCAGTGGACATTTCAAGGTGACAATGCTGAGCCAAGGGCCGCTGTGTTACCAAGCGGTTCCTTTAGCCTGGCCCCTCCTGTGCCAGCTGGGACAGTCTGGAGACCTTCTTTCACGTCCTTAAGTCTCATTTTGGCAAGGATTTATTTTCCTTGGGGAGAGGGTAGAGCAGTGGTAAAGGACGTTCTCATGAAGCATCCAGCCATCAGGGCCGCTGAGGGCGCCAAMCAGAAACTCAAACCTCCCTAGATTGACTTTTCCTCTTTGTTCATCATCTGACAAATATTTGGCTTTCCTCGGCCACGTCTGTTTCATTTTTGCTTCAGAGAGATGGCTTTGTTTCTGCTGCGTGCGGCCCTGCGAGGCGCTYCAGGATCCCTCCCCCTGCCCTCCGGCATCACTAGCTGCGGGAGCTTGGTGGCCGCGGGGGGCTGCTCCTAGCTTTCGCCTTTGTCAGTGTCATCAGCTGTAGCTTCGCACACACACCAGTGCGCATGCGCCCACTCCCTTGCCCCACCTCCATCAAGACCCCTCTCCCCSGCCCCCAGCCATTCTCAAGTTCCTCCTGGGGTCCCAGGCTTCCCCTCTCCACTTCCCCACTTTATTTCCTGGTTCCCGCACAGCCCATTCTTCCCACTTAAAGCAAATCTCCAGTGCACGGTTCCCGATTGCTTTGTCTGTCTGCAGCTGCAGAGTTATTTCTGTTAAGACTCCCTCAGACTTCCCTAGCCTTGCAATCCTCCTTCTGGACAGGGGATGGCTTTGGGGACGTTGCCCTTAGAGTGTCTCTGGTTCCCCAAACCTACTGAGTTCCATTCCCAACATCTTTTATCCAAAGACTTTATCTTCTGCCTCACCCCCAGCACACAGATCGCTGCTCTTTTGGAAGCTTCGGGAGGTGAGATGCTCCCTCAGGTCCCCTCCCCAGTGGGAAAAGGAACCTCTCATTTGAGTTTCCAGAGCTCGCTGCGCACTCTCCCCCGACCCCCTCTCTTATAGCTTTATCATACTTTATTGGAAGTGCCTGTTTACTGGTTTTGGACAAAATAACAATCAACAAGTATTAATCCACAAGTATTTATTATGCATCTACTATATTAAGTGTTACCAGTTGTTAAGTGTTGGGGATATAATGGGGAGAAAAAACAGACTCRCTTCCTCTCATGGCCTATAAAAGACTTTCTGGGTCAGGAACTACATTGTATTTATTTCTATAACCTGGACAGTATAGACGCTCACTAAATTTCAAAGAGATGGATGAAAGAATAAATCCTCTCTCACCCTCTTGAGCAACCCCATCATTTTTGGTGTGCTGCTTTGTTATGCTAAAACACAAGCTCAATATGATGAGCTTGATAGAATATTTACATTCTCAAATTTTTATGCGGTATTTTCATTATTGCCTCTGGGTCTTCAAAGCTACCTTRTGTGGTGACTTTGGTCCAGTTCTAGCACTCAGTTCGCTGCTCTTTTGGAAGCTTTGRGGAGATGAGATGCTCCCTCAGTTCCCCTCCCCAGTGGGACCAGGAACCTCTCATTTGAGTTTCCATTTAAGTTTCCAAATTTCTCATTTGAAATTCCTTTAAATTAAAACTCAGCAAGTACAATGTCAAAGGTCAAATGGTGCATTGAAGCCCAGGCCAGGTCTCAGCATTAGGGCTCAGCAGTGCTGGCACATGGCCACCCAAATGACACATAGGCCTGCATACCCTGTCCCCTGTACCTGCTGTGCTCCTCACACACACCCCCATCCCCAACCAGAATCTGAGGGAAATTTTAAATGGAGAAAAGGCTGGTRCTGGGTTTCTATCTAATTCTCTAGATTTGTCCTAGACCCTCCCTGTCACTGCTTAAAAGGGAGAGTGATTTAATGGATATTAAGATATGATTTCCTTTTTTAGCCATCCCTTAGCCCCTACCCCTGCCCCCAATTATCTGTATGAAGCATGGTAGGCTCGATTCTATCTTAACTGGATTTTCTGAGTATTGTCAGTAACTTGGAGCTGAGTGTGCTTGCCTATCACCTGGGCCAGTTCAGTTTTATGATTAGATTTGTTTAATTAACCTAACTGGGAGGCCCTGAGTACCTGGGCTGTGAGGGACAGAGAGAGAGGGAAATGTTCTTTGGACTCTGCTAATGGCAGCCTTGGTTCCAAGCCAGCAACTTAACCTCGACCAGAGCAGGCACTTGGAATTCTCACTGTCTGGGTGAGGCCAGGGCTTCTGGGCCCTGGGATGGGTAGGGTTGGGGTCAGGGTGCTTCTGCCTTGAACCAATAGCCTCTGCAGGAGAGTTCAATAGGAGCATCAGAGGGACTGATTCACCAGTTGTAAGGGACAGCTCTGCCTGTCCTGGGGTGCACTGGAGATACTCTGGGCTGCGATATAAAACAGCTGGGTCTTTTGAGTTGAATTTCTCTAAGTTTCTTATTTGTAAAATGGGAATAATAAAGATCACTTTACAAGGTGGGTACAAGGTTCAGTGAGACAAAATCCATTAAGTGACCATCTCAATGCCTTTCACAGTGTACCCAACCCAACAGTCTATTTTTTTATGTAAGTGCCCGTGCATGTGTGTGTGCGCGCACACACACACACACACACACACACACACAGGCTGCATTCCAAATGGGCTCCTCTTTAATGTTTCACTTCCATCTCATCTTTTTTTTTTTAAATTTAAATACTTCTTTAGTTTTTGGCCTCCTTCTAGATTTCCTTTGCTCTTGTTCTTGTGTCTAACTCTGTCTTTTCCTTTGGCTCTACTTCCTGATGCTTCTCATGAACATTTCTCATTTGGACCCTGCCCCTAAGGAGCCCTGGGACATTGGCTGCTGTTTTCCTCCCTCCCCAGGAGCACTTGTCTTTGCTGTGTTGTCCTGTTCTGCAGTCATTCAATTCCCTTTGTGCCCCTGCATCAAACTCTGAGCCCCTTGATATGGGACTGTGGCTTAGTGAGCTAGCACATAGGGAAGACTTGCTAAAGGATGGTGGTGGAAGGAGAAAGGACATTTAGAGGATTGGAGGTCAGCCTTATGAACTCCAGAAAAGCACAAGGTCACCACTAACCTCTATGTACCTTTATTTAGAAGAGACACCTGCTTGCTTCTACCAGGGGGGYGTGGCTTGCAAATCTCACTTGCCTCCTTGGCTGGGGCCCTGGTCTGAGTCTGGACTGGGCTTCTACTTTTAAAAAAGTCCCTGCCATCAGCCTGCTCCATAGAGTCTCAGTGGAGAGTGGTAGCTACCACCAGTRTCCCCTCCTCCACCCATACACATGCAGCCATTTGACAGAAGCCACCACCTTGTGCCTGGAAGCRGCCTCCACTGGGCAATCTTTCTGTTTTAATAATTCCCTTGAGATGATTCTGGATCAAAGGGGGCATCTGGGTAGATGTTCTTAAATACCCACTTGACATGTGTCGGGGCACTATGCAGTGCTTCTTGTTCCCCAAATCCACATGAAGTAGGCAGAGCTTCCCATTTCACAGGTATGAAAATTGAAGTTCAAAGAAGAGAAGTTGAACGAAGTTAAGAGTTGGTGGAAGACTGTTTTGTACTCTGTGGTCTCCTCTTCTCTAGGAATGAAGGCCAAGTTCTGTGGTGGGGGGTGGGGAGAAGCTTTTAGGAACTGATTGGATCAAGAGAACTCTAACTTCATTGGTGGATTAATCCATTTGAAGATTAATGACTGAATGAATTGGGAGGTGGGACAGAGATGGAGGAAGCCGGTCACTGRGGGAATGTCCTGGCCCCTTCTCCCCATTGCTATCTCCGTGTTTTTCCTGGCTACCACAAGCTGAGAAGCTTTTCTCCCTYGTACCCTTCTGCCTTGATGTTGCTGCCTTGGACCYAGCTGGCCATGGACTAAATTCTCTGAAACCATGAAACAGGATAAATATTTCCTCCTCCAAATTGTTTTTGTCAGGTATTTTAGTCACAGTGTAGAAACGGTGATGCACACAGGAAGGAAGCAGCATCTCCGCATTGGGTGGGAGACAGGATTTGAGGGACTGACTGGTTATATCTCTGGCCAGAACCTGGGCCATATCAAAACCACATGGACATTTCCCTGTCAGAGAACAAAAGAAGAGTATATTGAAAACTTGGAGTTCCACACACATGTAGAGACAAATATAGCTTGTGGGAATATGAAACACTTTTGTCACTTTTTAGAAGTGGGGAGGCAGAAAAGGTCATATTTTCATCTCTTCAGATTTCCAATAATAAAATAAAGTTTGGTTTCTGTTTTTTTTTTTCTGTCTCCTGATTTTTTTCACTGACTCTTAGTGCTCTCAAGTTACTAATTTTTCCATAATTTCCTGGAATTTTGGTCTCTCTCCTCATGGAGGATTGGTATTGGCTCAGCCTCAGGCTGAGTGCTATCAGTTTGCCAGCACAAGTGACTTCTCAGATAACAGAGACTGTTCCAGTAGGAATGGCAGATCTGCAGGGACAGGCTGAGGGGAGGAGAGCATCACTCCACAAATCTATGCAGAAAACACAAGAAAGACTCAAGTTCAAAACACTGTCCTGTGCCGGGAGGGGTGGTGCATGCCTGTAATCCTAGTGGCTTGGGAGGCTGAGGCAGGAGGATTGAGAGTTCAAAGCCAGCCTCAGCAATTTAGCAAGTCACTAAGTAATTCAGTGAGACCCTGTCTCTAAATAGCATACAAAATAGAGCTGGAGATGTGGCTCAGTGGTTAAGTGCCCCTGAGTTCCATCCCTGGTACCAAAAACAAAAAAATAAAAACTAAAAAAAACCATCCTGTCCCGACACTTAAGAAGCAACTCCTGCCTCTCTGTGCCTTGAAGTTTGCATCTGTAAAATGGTGGTAAGTGTAAGAATATCACGGGGCTACTTGAGGAGCAAATGAAATCACAGATGAAGGGCGTGGAATGGTCTGACAGGTACTGGACTTTCCACGCAAGTTTATTACATTTCTTCTCAGTCCTTCTGGTCACTTGTTTCCTCACTTTGTCTGCTCCTGGGTGACACTTGCTTGATTTTGCTCCATGAAGCTGCTACTCATTCTATGCTCAGTTATGGGGGTGTCTTTTCCTTTCTGTTACGAGCAGGTTTCAAGTTTCTTTGCATCTTTCCCACTCACGTGGGCATCCTGGGGGTTGTATGCACATGTCTGTAAGCTGGCGCTTCGAGGTGGCYGAGGCTCACTGCGAATGGAGACTCTAGTGGACCTTTCTTTATAATTCCATGGCATGTGACTTGATGCAATTATTGTTTAAGTACACATGATCACCGTGAACATTTGACAAGTAGGAGTTTTGTTTACTGGTTATAAGCAGTGAAGCCAAATCTCAGCCCTGCCTCTGATGAATCACTCACTCAGCATCTCTGAGCCTTAGTGTTTCCACTGGTGTAATGGGGGTGATGGCAACTCTCCCAGGGTTGATTACAGCATTACGTGAAACCATG